CTGGCATTACTGCTTTGATTTGTGTTATGATGCCAGCAGTTTCACTCACTATTACTTTTGTACCATTTGTGCATATGTCAACTCAATGAAAAAGACATTTAACATCTTGGCATTATTATGAAAATCATTTTAATTTCATTAACCCCTTGAATAGGTTGTGGGATACCTAGGCATCCTCTAGAGACCATATTCTGAGAACTGCTACAATTCTACATTCAGTTACAAACCTCATGAATATTTACACCAAGAGACACATTAGAAGAATATTCATTGCGCCTCAGCTTCCAAAGGCAAAAACTGCAAGCAACCCAAACGATCAGGAAAATAGGTAAATACCTCGGTGCATTTATACTACAGAGTATGTTTCTCAGTTGCTAAAATAAATGAACTATACCTTTATGCAACATGGATAAATCTTAAAAATACAATTTTTAAAAGCTGTAAGTTATAAAAAACTATAAGCTATAAAATACCACTTTTCTAAATTTCAAAAACAATCAAAACTGAATCGTACATTGTTTAGGCATATACATGTGTTAAATAAATCTCCCACACACACACAAAAAAAATCAAAAATCAAGGAAATGTTAATCCCAAAATATAATACAGGGGTTTCTTCTGTGAGACAGATGGGAGGACTGCTCGGGAGAAACACATATATAGGTGCAAATTGCTGGCCATGTTCTAGTTCCTGGGGTGGGTGGTAGTTTCATGGGTGTTTAACATATTATTCTTTATAAATCCCATATAAGTTACATCTATTCTAATTTTTACAGGATTTTTCCCTCCTAAATATAATCAAATGCACAAATCTTAAGGGTACCAGTCAATAAATTTGGACATTGCATATACCTATGTAACCCAAAGCCCTAAGAAACTATCAGCATCTCAGAAAGTTCTTTCATGCTCCTTCTCCATCAATCCCTGCTCTGACTACCCAAGTGTATACAGCTGTTCAGATATTTTCCCACCATAGAGTAGATTATGATTTTGCTCAACATTTTGTACCACCAGAATGAAAGTTTCCAGAAGGTAAGAACCTTGATATATTATTTACTACTGCACTCAGTGCCTAGGATACTCTCTGACACATGAAAGTTGCTGAATAAATGAAGAGTAAATAAAAGCTATAATTAAGTTTCCTTAGCATGTGTTGATTAATAAATCAGTTGAATAAAGAGTACATAAGAGGCTGGGTACAGTGGCTCACACCTGTAATCCCAGCACTCTGGGAAGCCAAGTTGAGAGCATCACTTGAGACCAGGAGTTCAAGTCCAGCCTGGGCAACATAGTGAGAACGTGTCTCTACCAAAAAAAAAAAAAGAGTAAATAAAATTTATAATAAATTTAACCCATCTGTACACGAACACTGGAAAACCAGTACTTTAAATATCACATTTTAAAAGTCAATATTTTCAAACTTTAGTCATGTACTAATAATTCTAAGAGATATAATTTTTCAGATCAATAAATATACATCAAGAAGTAATGCAGATTAGAAAAATTACTAAACTGGGAGCCAAGAGACCCAAAAATAAGTTTTCATCCTTTCTTATTACAAACTAGTTACATGACAAATCAATCTCAGCTTTTTCACTTGTATAACATAACTAATTAAATCTCAGCCATTCGTCCCAACTCTTAAAAAATCTATGATTGATACTAAATTATACCATCATCTAAGTACAAAATAAATTTTAAAAATTAAGTGCTACAAAGTGAAAAGAATAAAATTATCATCATTACTAAAAACAAAGAAAGTTTTAGAAGTTTCACACAACAATAAAAACATAGGCTGGATCTTAAAAGAAAAATATAATTTTGACAAGTAATGAAAAACAGGGCATTACTGGCAGGGCGAAAAGCATGAAAAACATAGAAAAAGGAATGTACACAACATGTTCCTGGAACAAAGTAGAGACAAGTTTGGCTGGATTGACAGGTTCAGATAGGTCAATGCTTCTCAACTTTTCCAGAGAAATGTCCCAAAAGGCAGTGGAGTGGTCTAAAGCAGCAGCCAAGAATATAAAATACATTTGAAATACATTTAATATCCAAGTGATTTAGCCATTTTGATTTACTTTGTTTAGTATACCAAATTTTCATAGTCCAAGTAGATATATGTTTTTCCTACAATTATTCATATGCTACTTTGGTAAACCTAAATATGGTGAGGTGAAATGTAAAAGAATTTTATATTACACTCTAAAGACCACTCGTTTTAAAATGTACTTTTATCACAAAAGAAGAAGATAGAAGTTATTGGGGGAAAAGTGCTTTGAATTGTTTTCTTACTGAGCAAGAAAGAAAACATGAACAGAAGCTTTCATACTTTGTGATTATAAAGAATTTAGTCAACCTTTATTCTTCTCTTTCTTTCACCCCATATCCAATCCATCAATATGTACTGATATAGTTTTACTTCCAAACTATATTTCAAATCCACTGGCTTTTTTCTCCACAACTACCATCATACGGTAAGCAGCTATTATTTCACTCTTGAACTATTGCAATGTCTACCTATTTTCCCTAAGTCTGCTTTGCCTCCCAATTACATAATCTCCACACAGGAGCCACCCTCATATGTTTAAGATTGTTTAGACTAAAATTCCATGAGTCCTACATTATTTGTTTGCTGTCTGCCTTTCCAACCTCATCATACAACTCTTGCTATGTGCTCCTTCCACTACTAAATTACAGGCTTCGATAACTTATAACTCAAAAAAGAACCTTATCTGCCTTGTCAAACAACCTACTCTCAGCAGGTAGAAAAGTCCTGAGATACAAATCTTACTAAATATTTAATTTATTAATGCTATGCTCATAAAAATAACAAAATAATTATTTTGTTATACATACAATATAATTTCAGGATCTCCAGACCAAGGCTGGGTTGCCTCCCTTAATGAGAAGTTCAAAAAAATCCTGTGCATTTCCCTTCTGCCCTAAACACCAAGGAAATGATAAACAATAATATTTTAAAGTAATTTTTAACATAGAGGTTTTCAGTAATGAGAGAGCAGCTTATACTACACTAATTTTCCTGCTGACAACAATTATAAACTTTTTAAAAATATGTATTTATAAAAACACCATTTGAAGACATTGTCAAGGAAACAAAAGCAGATACAAACTAGGTAGGGGTGATTATGACTCTTGTAAGAAGGAGAATACACTGAATGAGGCCCACACTTACCCTTCTTCCTTCCTGAGACAACTACACAGTCTGTTGTGTACAGGCAGGGGACAGAGCTCTTATAAAAAGCTGCAGTCTTATTGGGTGAAAGTATCAGAGAATGAAGTCTGGAGCTACTAGAAGAGCTAAAACTTGAGGACAGAAATCTCAAGAAACTGGGAGTCAGCTGGGGCTGACTCCTGAATTCCCATTCATAGAATGAAAATCCAAGCCCAGGGAGAGGCAACAGCTAGAAATCTGAAAGAACTGGGAAGAGATTTCAACAGCTATCTGGTCCTGGAGAGTCAGGGTTTGGTGTTAGAGAGAATTGGTAAATATCTCAGGCTTTCCACTGAAACTCTAGAAAAGGCACACTTGAAAAATAAGAGCCACTTGCCAGAACTAATGGCAAAACTGAAACAGACCTGTCCCAACAAAGCCTAAAACCAAGCCTCCACAGGATCAAGGTGATGTGCCAGTAATTTAACTGCCTGCTAGAACAAAATTCAATACTTCAGAGGAAGATTGAAATCCATACCATCTGGAGTTTCTACACTATATCACCCACAATGTATAGCAGTCAGTGAAACTTACTAAACATGAAAAGAGAAATGGGAGAGTTAAAAGAAAAATATTTATAATAGAAATGGACTCACAGCAGACCCAAATGTTGGATTATTTTAAAGACTTTGTTTACTATCATACACATGTAATAGAATTTACATTAAAAATTAATATAATGCATGAAGATAAAGAAGCCATATGTAAACTACAATATCAAGAAATCTAGGCCAGGAGCTGTGGCTCATGCTTATAATCCCAACATTTTGGGAGGCCAAGGCAGGAGTATTGCTTGAATCCAGGAATTCAAAACCAGCCCTGACAACATAGGAGGACTCCAACTCTACCAAAAAAAAAAGAAAGAAAAGAAAAGAAATTTTTAATTAGCTGGCCATGGTGCTGCATGCCTGTAGTCCCAGCTACTTGGGAGGCTGAGGTGGGAGAATTACTTGCCCTCAGGAGTTTGAGGCTGCAGAAAGCCACGATCACACCACTGAACAACAGCAGCAACAAAATCTGATACATATAGGTGGAACAGAAGAAATATTTGAAAAAATACTGGGTAAATGTTTTCCAAGTTTGTTTAAAAAAAATCAAACCACCAATCCAAAAAATTCATCTGACTTCCCATACTTAAGTCACATTATAGCCAAACTGCTAAAAAAAAAAAAAAACAAAGAAAATCTTAAAAGGAGTCACATACATTCTGGAGAACCAAGATAAGAAACAAAACTGACATCTCTTCAGAAGCAATGGAGGCCAGAAGACAAAGTACTAGTAGGGAGAGGGTGAAAGCTGTCAACCTAGAATTGTACAATCCTGAAAAATAATTTTGATACCACTGAACTGTTGTATCTATCATAAAAAATAAGAATTTTCAAAATTCAAGGCAAAACAAATATATTTTCAGATAAATGGATGCTGACAGAATACATTACCAACAAACTCACACTATAAGAACTGATAAAGAAAATAATTTGGATTAAAGGAAATATTACATGTAAACTCAGATTTACAGAAAGGAATGAAGAACTCAAAAATAGTAAATATGTGACTAATTATATTGTTATTCTTCTGTTTCTTAAATGTATTAAAAGGGAACTGACAGCCAGACACAGTGGCTCATGCCTGTAATCCCAGCACTTTGGGAGGCTGAGGTGGGCGGATCAATTGAGGGAAGGAGTTCGAGACCAGCCTGGCCAACATGGCACAAACCCTATCTATATTAAAAATATAAAAATTAGCTGGGCGTGGTGGCATGTACCTGTAATCCCAGCTACTAGGCAGGCTGAGGCAGGAGAATCGCTTGAACCTGGGAGGCAGAGGTTGCAAGAGGTCGCACCATAGGTCACGCCACTGCACTCAGTTGCACAACAGAACAAGACTCTGTCTCAAAAAAAAAAGACAACTAATCAACTGACAATTGTTCAAAGCATGAATAATAACAGTGTATAAAGTGCATGGTAGGGTTTAAAATAGATATAAAAGTAAAACAGTAACAACAATAGCTAAGAGGAATAAAATTAAAAGTTTATATAAACCAATTCATGAAAGCTCTAAGAAATAAGAAAAGGTGCTATCAGCAAATCAGAAATTTAAAGTAATTCCAGGAAGATCAAAAGTAGATAGGATTAGAATGACAGAATAGAGGAAATAGATACTACTTAAAACATACATAGGCTAGGTGCAGTGGCTCATCCCTGCAATCCCAGCAGTTTGGAAGTCTAAGGCAAGAGGATCGCTGGAGCCTGGAGTTCAAGACTAGCCCTGGCAATAGAGTGAGATCCTATCTCTACAAAAAAAAAAAAAAAATCTAAAAATTAGCCAGCCTGTAGTGTGCACCTGTAATATTAGCAACTAGGGAGGCTGAGGTGGGAAGACGGCTTGAGCCCACAAGTTTGAGCCTACAATGAGCTAGGTGCCAGCCACTGCACTCCTGCCTGAGCAACAGAGCAAGACTGTGACTCTTAAAAAAATTATTTAACTTAAGAAAAAAAAAACACAGAAGAAGACATCAACAAGCATAAAAACAGCTGTCTGCACACACATTAATAAAGCATAAATATGCAACGATTATCAAAGAGTGTTATACAGTTGGGATGGGGCAGGGGTGGTAGGCACAAAAGAGTAGGACCAAAATGGACCAGAAAACAACCGACCCCAGAAGAAACAGATAATGCACGGAAGAGAACTTCATTTAAAATCTTTTTGTTATTCTTGGAGAGATTTAAGAATATTTTGAAAAAATAAAGTATCACTAGATTACGAAAAAGGAGCAGAGAATTTACAAAATTTTAAAAAATCATGACTAGTAATGAAGAGAGCCTGGCATTTCATAGTCTTCCTGTGCTGCTCTGCCCTGACTTTGTTTTCATTCTGTCTCAGATGTCCCCACTATACACAATTTTGTGGCTATTCTTTATAGCTTTATTCTTTATCATATAGCAGTATTTTTATTCATTTTGGCTCTTTTGTACTTCCTACAGAAAATAAATAAATGGACCGTTGTCTCTTTCCTTTTCCCCCAGGTGTTTTACACCTGCTCAGTTCTGAGCATCGAGCCACCCACTTTGCCCATTCATTCCAGTTATCATAAGATTTGTGTGGTTCCAACTTATGTGTTGCTGTTACAGAAAATGCTGCTCTAATCATACCTGTTAAAGTTTGCAAGTGGTTGTGCATAATAAATTCTCTATACACTAAAGAAAAAATGAGGACAACTCAGTGAAAGAGTTGAATAATATGACCAAATTAGTAATTTGGAAGACAGTCAAGACAATCTCCCAATTCCAAGACTGAGAAAGTGAAAGAGACAAAGACAGAAAGAAAAAAAATATGATGAGCAAAAAGGTAAAAAATATGAGGATCAATCCAGGGAGTACAATTCTAAAGAGAAGCTCTAGATGGAGGAAGAAGGAAAACACAGAGAAGAAAAACAATAGAAGAAATTGTATTGGTGTTAAAGATGCCTGGGTTCCTATTAAAAAGATCTGCAGAGAGGAGACAACATTTAATTTTTTAATACTGTACCAACACAAATCAAAGCAAAGGGTCCAAACACCAAAAATAACAAAGAAACTCTAAAAGAGTTCAATTAATCTTTGTCTACTCAAAGCTTCTACCTACACATATAAAAATCACTGATGAAAACATAAGTGCATTCAGATTGGTCCCTCTTTAGAGTCATACTCAAATAGGTCCTTACTACTGGCTCACCTATCATTTTATATTTCATTAGTCCATTTACTCTATCACTATCCAAAACAACTGTCTCATACTTTCTGCTCCTTGATCTCCAAAACTGCCAGCCCTTTTCTTAATCTCCACTTCCTGCATTTGACTGAGAAATACAAGCAATCAAAAGCAAACACCTAACAACTAAAGAACGCAAATCCTTTTCAATTGAAGCTGGAATATTTTAGAAGTAGACCACATGGTAGGCCATAAAATTCTCATCACATTCTTAATGAAATCACACAAAATATAATTTGTATTCAAAACATGAACAATGGAACAAGCAACCATTTTATATACTTAAGACTCATAATAACTCAAGATGGCGCTGTGAGAACAACCCAGGATTGGAGTTCTCGTTGTGTCGGCGGAGAGGTGAGTCTGAGCTGCATTTCCAGACTGATCTTTGTTGCTCACGGAACGGGGAAATTCCCAAGTGAAGAGGAGACGCGGGACGCCAGGCAGATACTCCGCCTGGCGAAGCCGGCAGCCGGGGTGGCGGCGGCCGGCCCTACCCAGCGCTCCCCACAGGGCACACTTGTCCGGGTGCCCCGTTGAACCGGCAACTGGAGACGTGAGAGGGCTGGACTTGAGACTGAGCTAGACTTGGACAGTGGGCCAGCCCAGGGGATTGCAGGAACAGAGCGTTAGGATTGGCCCAGTGGGACGAACAAAACCGCGATTTCAAACAAGCCCCGTGCAGACGGCCCGAGACGCTCTGAGGGGGAGGGGCGGCCACCATTACCGAGGCAACCCGCCCCAACTGAGATACACGCCCATTGCTGACGCAGCCAGCCGTTGCCGAGGCAACCCGTCCCTACTGAGATACACGCCCACTGCTGACGCAGCCAGCCTCTGCCGAGGCAACCCGTCCCTACTGAGATACACGCCCACTGCTGACGCAGCCTGCCGTTGCCGAGGCAACCCGCTACAACAGAGAGACTCCGCCGCAGGGCGTGGCGGAGAACAGCAGAACAGCAGAGCCAGGGCGAGCCTCACAACAGCAGGGCGGAGCCTCGGCAGGCAAACAGTGGCTAGTCTGCATCCTAGCTGGGCAGGACCTCAACGGACATCCAAAAATAAAGCCCAAACCCCTCAACACAGAGCATTTGAGAAAAAAAAGGGTTTTTTTAATGAGGTCTGTTGCAGCAGAATCAAACATAGCAGCCTAACAGCCCTGAATGAACAACACAGCTCACAGCTCAGCAATTAAACCCCTATAAAGTACAAACTGTCTCCTCAAGCAGCTCCCTGACCCCTCTATATCCAAAAGACTGACATTAGGCAGGCACCATCCTGGGACAAAGATAGCAGAAAAAGAAACTGGTAGCATCCCTCGCTGTGCCACAGCTGCTAGAGGTGCACCCCAGACAAGCAGGGTCTGGAGCGGACCTCAGCACTTGTACAGCGAAGGGGCTAGACTGGTAGAAGGAAAACCAAGCAACAGAAATACTTCATCATCAACATTCAGGGTGTCCACTCAGAGACCCAATCGAAAAGTCAGCAACTACGCAGACGACCAGCGGACAAATCCGCAAAGATGGGAAGAAACCAGCGCAAAAAGGAGGAAAACACCCGAAACCAGAACACCTCGCCTCCTAGAAAGAACCAAAACTCCTCACCAGCAAGGGAACAAAGCTGGACGGAGAATGACTGTGACGAAATGACGGAATTAGACTTCAGAAGATGGATAATGAGAAACTTTGGTGAGCTAAAAGATCATGTATTAAATCAATGCAAAGAAACTAAGAACCTTGAGAAAAGATTTGAAAAAAGATTTGAGGAAATGATAACAAGAATGGATACCTTAGAGAGGAATATGAATGAATTAAAGGAGCTGAGAAACACAATACGAGAACTTCGCGAAGCATGCACAAGTTTCAATAGCCGAATTGACCAAGCAGAAGAAAGAATATCTGAAGTCGAAGACCAACTCAATGAAATAAAACAAGAAACCAAGATTAGAGAAAAAAATGCAAAAAGGAATGAACAAAGTCTCCAAGAAATGTGGGACTATGTGAAAAGACCTAACCTACGTTTGATAGGTGTACCAGAAGGGGACGAAGAGAATGATTCCAAGCTGGAAAATACTCTTCAGGACATCATCCAGGAAAATTTCCCCCACCTAGCAAGACAGGCCAACACTCAATTGCAGGAAATACAGAGAACACCACAAAGATATTCTGCAAGAAGAGCAACCCCAAGGCACATAATCGTCAGATTCAATAGGGTTGAAATAAAGGAGAGAATACTAAGGGCAGCCAGAGAGAAAGGTCGGGTCACCCACAAAGGGAAGCCCATCAGACTCACAGCAGATCTCTCGGCAGAAACACTACAAGCCAGAAGAGAGTGGGGGCTAATATTCAACATTCTTAAAGAAAAGAACTTTCAACCCAGAATTTCATATCCAGCCAAACTGAGCTTCAGAAGTGAAGGAAGAATAAAATCCTTTGTGAACAAGCAAGTACTCAGAGATTTTGTCACCACCAGGCCTGCTTTACAAGAGCTCCTAAAAGAGGCACTACACATAGAAAGGATCAACCAGTACCAGCCATTCCAAAATCACACTGAATGCTAAAGAGCATCAACATAATGAAGAATCTACAACAACTAACAGGCAAAACAGCCACTTAGCATCAAAATGGCAGTATCAAATTCACACATAATATTAACCCTAAATGTAAATGGACTAAATGCACCAATCAAAAGACACAGACTGGCAAATTGGATAAAAAGCCAAAACCCATCAGTGTGCTGTATCCAGAAAACCCATCTCACATGCAAGGATACACAAAGGCTCAAAATAAAGGGATGGAGGAAGATTTACCAAGCAAATGGAAAGCAAAAAAAAGCAGGAGTTGCAATTCTCATCTCCGATAAAATAGACTTTAAAGCAACAAAGATCAAAAGAGACAAAGAAGGCCATTACATAATGGTAAAAGGATCGATACAACAAGAAGAGCTAACGATCCTAAACATATATGGACCCAATGCAGGAGCACCCAGATACATAAGGCAAGTTCTTAAGGACTTACAAAAGGACTTAGACTCCCACACAATAATAGTGGGAGACTTTAACACTCCACTGTCAATACTAGACAGATCTACCAGACACAAAATCAACAAGGATATCCAGGGCTTGAACTCAGACC